ACCAAGTGTCACTTGATTAACCTAGGCTGCCTCGTTAAGTGGTTTTTGCTAATCAAGGTTCTCAAATTGATTTTGTTAAATAACCTTCGTGTTACTGCAAGATTGTTACGGTGATGTTTTCCACAAATCTTAATGCACTATTCTTAGTAGTAATCTAAGGGTTGGTCTTTGGGTTGCTAAGGGTAGTAGGGTTTAGAGTTAGGGTTGGTCCTAACATGAGCTTTTATGAATGGGAAAATAGGAAAGAACTGTTGGTGGACCTCTTTTTCAGCCGGACCCTTGTTTTAATTTATAGTTGGTTGATGATTATGCTAGTTTTTAACAAAGTTTTGATCCGGATATTTATTTTCTATATTATAAAACATTTTGTTGGTTTTCTAAAATTGTTTAAGTCTCTAACTTATTGTGTTATGTGTGCTTGTCTTCTTCGTTTGGGCTTTTTGGTGGAGTTATGTTCTGTTTTTATCCTTGGTTTGTTTTGAGATTTGTCTGGTGTGGTGTGTCACTTTAGTTAGTTTTTTACTTTATTTAGAAAACAATTTTCAAACCCCCCCATCTTTTAATGTAGTTTATAGATTTTAGATAGTTGTTTTCACTCAATAAAAAGTGACAAAGTAAACCGATTTTCATAACCTAAAAAATATCTTTCTTCGTGGGGTCGACTCTTACTTATCCTATCTATAAATTTAATAAATATTATTTTTTACAAGAAGGAATTGAGTAAAGGAAAAGAATAAATTAATTTTTTAGGTGCTACGACACGCCTAACACACTTCCAAAACGAAGCATACCTGTATCTTCTCCAATCTTTTGCTAAGAGGAATCTCGTCCAGCGCATCATTACTTGCCATTGAAACCCTAGCATTGCGTCTCCTTCTTGATGTTGCTTCTGCGTTCAATGCCATATCTCAGATGTTTTTTTTCTCGGTAATATGGCGTGAAGATCGAATCTTCCGTACCGAAGAATCCTGGATGGCCGCCAATTTTTACCAAATTGAGTATAATTCAATTTTGGGTGTTTAATTAAGGTCAAAAATGGGAATTCATCTCAAAAACCTATAGCACTACTTTTTTTAGTATTATAAGACTATATTAGTGCTATATTTGTATTTCTCCCTATTTAGAACCTATTCTTTAAATCTAAAGCTCTTAACTTTCCATTTTTTAGCTTCTTCCAGTTTTTTCCAATTTCTTTCAATTTTTTTCCAACTGTCCTCATTTTCTTCATACTTTTTCTACTCCCAAATAATTACTCTAAAAACGATATATTTTATTTAAATTATCATTTAATTGAGTAATTTTTTAAAACTATTTTTTTCATCATTTTTCAATCCGTTCCAATTTTTTCCAACTTATTTTTGTTTCTTTCCGCTCTTCTCAATTTTTTCTAACATTCAACTTTAGAATTTTAACTTAAAAAAACAAGATCTTAGGGATGAAGATAAAAGAAATCATATTTTAATATAAGATTATGGTTTTTATCCTTTCGATAATTTTCTTTACTCTTTCTAAAAATAACCCAAACATAAGAATATCAATGTACATTTTTCAAAACTTTTTTCTTTATCCATCAACAATCCCTTATGTTGCACGTTGGTGGGATTAATTAATGAAGATTTATATCCAAAAGAGACAAGTGTGCGCTGTTAAAGGAGGAAAACAAAGTTGTAAAGCCCAAAAAAATGATTGCACTCCGCGTTTTTCTTTCCTTGTACACTTTTTTCAAAAAGATGAGCACAAACTACTCCATGTATCCAACAATAGCGTTTCATTTCGTATGTTTAACTAAATTTATTTTTAAATTATTTTATATGAAAATGATGAAAATTAAAAAATAAAAATTATATATTTAAAAACTACATTAAAAGTTTTACAAAATTAGAGATGTCATGACTCTATTATTTTTTCAAATGGATATTGAAATTGGACCAACAAAGTAAATAAAATTTGACTCTATGAATACTGAATGAGAAAATTATTTTTGGATAGAGGAAGTTGTTAGTAAAGAGTAGACCTGGCAAAACAGAACCGGAACCGATTACCCGAACCGAAATATCTGAAACCGAAACCGGAATGATCCGAAAAATGAAGATCCGATCTATAACCGAAAACCCGAAATGATCCGAACCGAACCGAAACCGAACTAAATGATTCATATCCGATTTAAATCCGAAACCGATAATATCCGAACCGATTAAACCAGAAACCGATTAGATCCGGACCCGATAATACCCGAAACCGATAAAATCCGAAACCGATTAGATCTGAAACCGATAATATCCGAACTCGATTAGAAATAAAATCGATAAATTCAGAACTATGTTTACCTTTCAATAAGCATATTATATTTTTAAACTTTTACTTTTATTTTACCATTTGAACTAGTTACATTATATTACTTGCTCCTTCCCTCATAAAATGAATTATCTTCTTGAAAAAAAGTACAAATTTTTATGCCTTAAATTTATTATATGTAGAAATTAAAGATAAGTTATACATATAAATGATAACGCACAAACAAATAAAATTTCCGTAATTTTTAAATAGTGAAGTGTGATATTCTTTTTGGGACGAAAGGAATATATATATGATAAATTGTATGGAATAATTAGATTTTATCCTAATTTCATCTCATTACAATAAATTTTATTGATTTGAGAGTTAATTTGATTANTTTACTGTTATCATTTTCAAATTTGATCTACACCATTACATTTAGGTGTAAAATTAATTATATTTGACTCTATTAAATTTAATTTTCTCTATTTTCAACCAAATATACTCAACAATTTACAAATTTTATTCAAATGGAACATAAGACTATTTGAATTTATCTTTTATCCTTTCATTTATATACATAAGTATATTAGTAGATGTGAGAAAATTTTTATATTTCAAAACTAAATTTCAAAATCAATTTAATTATATTAAATTTATATCATAATTAAATATATATGTTTTCATAATTTGTAGTCCAAATTGTAAAATATGACTAAAAAGTCAAAAGGGGAAGATTAGAAAATAATATATATCCAAAATATATTTGATCTGAAACCGAAATATATATGAACCGAACTAGACCCGAAACCGAAATATATCCGACTCAAATTGTATCCGAACCGATTTATAACCGAACCGTATCTGAACCGACTCGAAACCGAACCGAACCGAAAAATGTATAGAACCGAAATCAAATCCGAACCGAAATTTAACCGATCCGAACCGAACTGAACCGATTATAACATATAACCGAAAGATATCCGAACCGAAAAAATCCAACCCGAAACCGATCCGGTTGATCCGATTGCCACCTCTAGTAAAGAGTGAGTTCTGCATCTGGTTTTTGCAGAAACTCTATGCTTAGTGCTTAGGATTGTTGATTCCGACTTCTGAGAACGGTTATTGGGAATTATGTTTGAAATTTACTCTCTTTACACCCCTAACCTAGCCATGCCTCCCCGAAGGCTCCCTAAAAAACGGCCAGAATGTCACTTGAGAGAAGGTAATTAAGCTATAATTACAATTTAGTTCGTAAAAAGATGAGATCTGCATCTGATATTTGCAGAAATCTTATGCTAAGAATAGTTGTTTCTTAGTACACAACACCAGGACCGGTATTCGAAATTTAATCTCTTTACGCCCCTAACCTAGTCAGCTGAGTCATGCCTCTTCTCTGAAGACCCCTCAAATCCGACAAGAATGTCACTTGAGAAGAAATAAACTAAATTTTAATTACAAACTATTACGTAGTTAGTAAAGAGTGAGGTCTGAATCTAATATTTGCAAAAATTCTATGTTTAAGATAATTGTTTTCTAGTATAGTCACCAAAAATCGTGACCAGTTGAGCCTAGCCTCTTCTTGCGTACACCTTTTTTAAAAAAGTACTCGTAGTAGCCAAAAACTGGCACATTGTATTATTACCCCTTGATTCACGCCGCGTTATCCGCTATCAAACAAATTCCCACCATTCTCTCCTTCCTTTTCCGCCATTTCTTCACCCCTTTCCAATTAGTTTAACATTTGATTCCCTCATAAAAAAACATGTATAATGTCACCCTCTCCCCTCTTAATGTTTTCATTTGTCCCAACACAATTGTTTTGCAAAAAATGAAATTGCGTGATTGTAAATATTACTCCGTCCTAAGGAGAGAAAAATAATATAAATCACATAAAAAATTTTATAAAAAAATGTAGCTTTAGTTTGATGTGAACTAAAAAGTAAAATGCAAAGTATTTTCTTGAAAGAGAAACTACTACTCGTGTACCAAAAAGACATTTTTCATGTGAAAATGACACCGGCTTTAAAAATAAGTTGAAAAATGAATTGAAAACGTAATTTATATGAAAATGCCTACTTGAAAAAAAAACATAAAGTGCAAATAGCTTAGAAATAAAGTGTCTTTTCAATAGTTACAATTTCTTCTCCATTTGGATTTAATTGTCATTTTGTATAAAATCTCATCTTTAAAAATGAGTTTTTCTTTTGAGGAAAAAAGAAACGAGTTTAAAATGACGAATTAGTCCTTCAAATAAGTTTGTCGCTCATTTTTGACAATAACGCTCACACCTTTTCTTTAAAATATTTTAGATTATTCACCATAACTTTTTTTTATTGAATTTATAAAGAAAAAAACTAGTTCTGAACACACGAAAAACAAGAAAATGAACTAAATCAAGTAAATAGAGTAAAAAAATAATGGTAAAAGATGATTTTGGGATGTCCAAACATATGGTAAGTGTGATGATAAATTTGGGAAGGAGGTAGTATAAAACATGTCACAATTGTACCACTTCTCATTACCTCTAACCCTCTCTACTTCTCCTACTTCATTTTCATCTCCCCTTACAAATTGTTATACTAATCCCTCTCCTTTCTCTTCTTTCATATCATGGCGTGGTGGAGGAAACTCATAAGCCTGAGGTCGAAGATCTATGGCGAAGGGTCTTTAGACAGTTTGCAGGCTCATAAGATCTTCCCAATTGGCAGTGGTGTACAAGAAAACCAAGTCCAGCTCTTGGCAGAAAAGAATGCTTCTTCTCCTCCTCCTTCAGTAGTTGAGGATAAGAAAACAGGAACTGCATTTCCTAAAAAGGAAAAGGACTGGAAGACGACATTGGCGAGCAGGCTGCTGGAGGAGAGCCCACGCAGTTCGGTTTACAGTGGGGAGGGGATGGATCTGCTGTGGGAGAGGTACGAGATAAACGACTCGATAAAGACGAACAGCTTGAGGCGCGAAGAAGAAGAAGAAGAAGAACAGATGAAGAAGAAGAAGAGCAAGAAAACGATGAAAAAAGAGAGATGTGATGATGATAATGAGGAGGAAGAGGTGAAGATTGGGCAGCTTTGTTGCTTGCAGGCACTCAAGAAGTTGTCAACTGGGAAGGGGAGCAGCTTTGGGGTGATGGGAAGTTCTAACCTTGTGAAGATTTCAAAGGCCTTGAAAGGGTTCGGATGGGTTCGCTGGGTGAGCAAGATGGTGGTGCACGTCGAAGACAGATTCTGACAGCTTAGCTTTGTATAGTAAAATTTTTGCTGTCTTCTTTTTTTTTGCTCATGAGAATATCTTGTTTTTTTGAATGCCAACTCCGGATTATCCTTCTCAGTTTTCTTCCCTCCCTTGTTTCACCACCATCTTTCTCTGGTTTGGTTTCACCAGCTGCAGGGAATGATAGTCCTGCCAAAGAGTACACACCATCAGTACAGTACAGTATCAACGTGCACGAATAACAACACAAGAACAATGCAAATAAGATGATTTTGGGAGAAGTGAAAAAAAAAGATTAAGATGTGTAACCTTCCAAAATAGAGAGCACAAGTTACAAATGATAAATTTAGCTAAGCTAAAAAAATAAATAAATCTCTAAATATGATTAGCACTCTATAATATGGTCTTCAAGATGACTACCGCTTCTGCATTACTTCAAATAATGAAAGTCTGAAGAATCCTTATATTTCCAAATTGCAACATTAATCTCAGCATTATCATATCAGTTACTAACACCCATCTTTATTGCTGCACTAAATTTTTACCATAACTTGATTGATATACCTCTTCAGCCCCAACAACTCACTTTGAAGGTGTGGCGCTTTTGCTCAAGTAACTTGGTGCCATGCCCTGTATGAAGGCACTAAATAATTGGCTTGACTCTACCTCTTAGAGTTCTCAAACAAGTCACTTAGTTGTTGGCTTTTGATGGCTTTATGTATCAGAGGGACTCATATTTACGACTTCTTGAATTTGAGAGGTAAGACCATCAATACAATAAGCATCACTCACAAAAACTGGGAGAGTTCTTTAAAAAAATCAAATGTGATTCTTGAAAATAGAGAGCCTATCATTGAGATGGTTTACCAAGTTACTCTCTTACATAACACAAAATATATGAAGGATTGTTGTCCCTAAGCTACAGCAAGAACCAAACCACCCTTGGCTAAGACCGCTAAGTTAAAAAACAAATCTCAACTACACAATGTAAACTTACATAGCAACAGTTATTTTATTAGGATTTCATTGTAACTGGTCCATTTCACTAGCATAAGAAAAACAAAGATCAGTGAATCAGTCCCACCTGAAAGGGCATTGACCAACCATTTCAGCTTAGTACTGGATGTTAAAATGCTCTCGACACGCCATCTCTCATTGTTTGGTACATGTTGTTTTCCTAATAAGGCCACAACATTCCATTCACATTACTATTAAGTATGGAGTATTTACTAAAAAAGTCCACAATCTGTGCTATCAATTTGGAAGATAAAGAAAGCAAAAAACCATTATCTAGGAATGTTTCATTAGCGGGAAACAAAAATTGTATTCCGATTAACATATACACTTAGAAGATAAGGTATGAAAGTACACAAACTACACCAACCACATACTCAAATACGAAGAATAAAGTTCATTATGCTCCCTGACAATCTCTACCAACTTGATGATATAAAAATGACTCGGTTTTAAAAGGGACGGCACAAAAAAAAACATGGAGTACATATTAACTACCACTTTACTTAAACATAACCGGCTAAGTGTCTGTGTGAATTGTAGCCAACGAGGAGTGAGTGGGTTAGCAAGCTGTGCGGAATTGATTCGCAATGCTACCGGTGACTGGTTATGTGGCTCTATGAGCAGATTTCATTCTGATAATGTGGTCTACACAGAGTGCAAAGCCATACTTCTAAGGCCTGAATGGGCAGGGAATAAAGGATACAGCAGTTAATCGTCCAAACTGATTCTAGAGATGCTATTAATTGGATATATTGTGATGAGGAACCCTTGGGGCCCTTGCAACAAGTTGTTTTGGGGCGCAAAGGATGGCTATGCAATGAATGGGAAATCGTTATCAAACACTTCTACAGAGAGCAAAATGGTGCAGCAGACACTATTGCTAGAATGACTAATCACGATACGGGTGGTACTTGGAGAGAATTAACTCCCCCCCAATTGAAATCCGAGAAATTTTTAAGGATGATAAAGCGGGGGTTCCCAGCATTCATTCAATCAATTGTACTCATTAACTCACTCTTTGGGGTTACTCCCCTCCTTTTAGATATAAAAAAACAATCGGAGTAATAATTACTTGAATTCAGATGTAAAATTAGTTCTGATAAAGTTAGATTCCAGTCTAAACCAAATAACACTCAATGAGGATAGCCATAAAAGCAAAAAAAATGCAAACACAGGCGACATTAGGAATCTGCAACTCTAACGAAGTAAACTAAATGCAATGTTTTCCTGTTTTAAAATGAAGGTGACTCTAAAGAAATGTGCAGAAAAGAACACAAGGAAGAAGACAAAACTGAAAAAATGGAAAGGTTCCGTGGAATCTCACGCATAAATGGATCACTCCATTTTTGCAAAACATCTCTTTATCACCGGATGTCATCACCAATGGACACACATTGAAAGTTTAAAAAATACAATGCTTGCACAATTGAATCAAAAAATAAGTATTATTTGATCAAATGAACAAGTACTTACAATCTCACTTGATCTCATGCTAATGGCTTTATATACAATACCACATATTCCATCCCCATGTTCCATAAGATGGATGAGAATGAGAGGTCAGCAGTACTCAGCTTTGACGAAGTCTCCAAGAAAGCTTGTTAACCAAAACATATTTCTTTTAAACACTTCAAAAGTCTTTCACCTTCATCAAACTTATCAAAGTAGCTGCAAAACGAGAGACTAATACAATGCAATTCAAATATAAAATATTTTGCAAAACAAAGCAGGCATGAAAATTATTAGTCAGAGAGAGAGGGCATGGGTTTGAGCTCACCAAATCATATGTAGCATAGCAGAGAGGCATAAATGGTCTAGACTCTAGAGAGAGGAAGCTAAAAATTGTGATCAGTGATGCAAGAACCTCGAAGAAACAAACTAGATGATTGGCCTCTCTAAGGGATGCTTCTCGTGAATCAAATTTAAAAGATCAAAGCACTTGAGCGGTTCATCCCCTTTAATCAGAAATTCAATGTGTGAAGAGATCGCAGTTTCATCATCAATTTTAGAATCTTTCAAAAGGTTAGAAAGCAGCCACATAGCTTCTTTAACTCTCCCGTGATTTCTAAGACTGAAAACTAGAGGACTACATGATGTAAAGGACGGAATACAACTATCTGTAATCATCAGCTTTACCAAATGCAGGCAATAGTCATAACAGTGATATCTGCAGAAGTACTCTATGATACATGAACTTAGGGCTTTGTCAAGAGGACAACCACTATTCACCATCTTCTGTATAAGATCCTTTGCTTCAGCAACTCTTCCAACTTTACAGAGCCCTAAAATTAAAAATTTATACACACCCAATGTACAGTCCCCGCATTGCTTGAACATATTCTGAAGATGGGCAGCATGGCAGACATTCATCTCTCTAAAAACAGAGTCTGCAGAGAAATACAGATCATCTTTTCCCATAATTCGTGAACCAGAAACCAACCCAGTAGAAGGCTTTTCTGACTGTTCTCCACTGGTGTTTGAGAAAACAATTTGTGCAAGTAATGCAAGATATATTTGAGCATTAGGCTCACAACCATTTTGGATCATGGTGCTTATAATAGCAAGGGCACGCTCTAAACTGCCACCTTTCACATGTGACTTAATCAAGATTCCGTATGTAATATCATTTGGTATTACACCGTATCCGGGCATTTTGCACAAGAGGTCCTCTGCCTCTTTGATCCTGCCACTCTGACAGAGACCAGACATCACTGCAGTGTAAGTGCACACATTTGGTTGGCATCCGTCTTGTTTCATAACATCTATGACTTTCAATGAAGAACTCATATCCCCTGTGTGGACCAGCCCACTTACTAGTATTGTATAGGTCACTACAGAGGGAACTAAACCATGCTTCAACATTTTTGCAAAAACAGAATATCCTTCAGCCAATCTAAATTGTTTTATAAGAGTGTCAATAAATGAGTTGAAGGCATGTGGACTTGTAAACAGCCTATCATTTATCATTCTGTCAAAAATAATGAAGCTATCTTGAATTTTATCAGCACGACAATAACCATTGATAAGGGCAGTTAATGTTACTTCATCAGGGGCTATTCCTTTCTTAAGCATCAATCCAAAGAAAATAGTTGCTTGCTTTAGTTTTCCATTTTTGCATAGCTCATCGATCAACATTGTATAAGTGAAGCCATCAAGTTCAATTCCTGTTAGCTTCATTGATTGTAGAACCGTGAAAGCTGCACAAAGGTGGCTTGCCTTGCAGAAACCATTAATCAGGGTATTATAGGTTACCTCATTAGGCTTCAGTCCATTACCAATGATCTTCTCCAATAGTTCCATTGCCTTAAAAGGTCGATTTACTATACATAGTCCACCTATTAGCTCATTGTATGTACGGATATTTGGTTTGCACTTCCCTCTTTCCATTACACCAAGTAGCTCAAATGCAGACACCACCTTTCCCTCTTTACAATAACCATCAATTAACGTGTTGAATGTTACTACATTCGGAAACAACTTGTTCTTTATCATCTTCCTAAATAACCCATTGGCCTCCTCAAATTTTCCCTCTCCACACAATCTATCAATCAGCACTGTGTATGTGTGAACATTTGGCATACAGCCCTTCTTCAGCATCTCATCAAGCAAAAGGAAAGCCTTATTAGTCAATCCCCTGTCGCATACAGCTTTAATGAGTACAGTATATGTGTGTGTGCTAGGTTTACAACCTTTCTTGCTCATCTTCTCTTTTAGTTGAAAGGCATCGTCTGTCCTGCCAGCTTTGCAGAGACCGTGAACCAATATTGAATATGTAACACTGTTAGCCTTACAACCATCCAATCGGGACATTGTGTCAAACACTTTATAGGCGCCAACAATATCACAAACCCTACAATAACCCAAGACCAACGAGGTACACACACGAACATCTAGCCTAAATCCGAGTTTCAAAACCCTGGAACAGAACATTTCAGCAGATCTCACATACCCAATTTTACATAGAGCATTTACTAAAGAAGTATAATCAATCAGAGATAGAACAAAGCCATTTCCCACCATTTCCTCATACAACTGAAGAGCTGATAAGCCCATGCTTAGCTTAGCCAACCGCATCAAAAGCACACTATAACAGGGATAGTTGAGCTTAAATCCCGCATTTCTCATGCCCTCGAGCGCGCAGATTAACTTCAAGGTATCAGATTCGGACACACAGTTTTCATTAATCAACAAAACCAGGACTTTATGTACAAGTTGAATCGATTCACTAGCAAGCAACAAATTCAAAACCTCAATCTTGCCGTCCAAATCATAGCAATACGTAGAGTGCAAGCAAACCCACCTGAAGAACCGAAGGCTGAGCTGAATATCATTGCTCTGAAGCGCCAGAACTTGGGAAGCAAGACCTGGGTTCATGTGAGAAACCAGTGATTTCAAGAAGTCGTCTTCCTCCCATTTTGGCTTCTTCATCAAGGCGCATACTTGATGCAAGCTTTCAGGCGGGGATGCGAGGGGACATGAGGGAAGAACTGAGAAGGGCCGCACCCGTGTTTGGAGGCGAAAGGAATAGAGTTTCTTGCTGAAATTAAACATGCACGGAGAGCTGGTTTGGGGTGCCAGTGATCGAGCGATAGAGGGCGAGAGAGCCTCGCTCGGCTAGCCAAAGGGCAATGCAAAATTTGGGTAGCCCGGGTGGCATGTGATCCAACGGTAAAAACTCAAACGCATTCCAAATCTATTTAACCTAATACGAAGTACTCCCTCCGTCCTCCTCTATTTGTACACATTTGATTTTGGAACTGTTCATCTAAGCACTTTGACTCATCAAATTCTCTCAATATGTAAGCTTAAATATAGTATGTGTGATCTTATTTGATTTGTCTTAACATATAGATTATTAATATATAATTTTTTATAATTTTTTAATATACAAATTACAAGATAAAATGTGATGGTGTAAATTACCACGCAAATGCTAAGTGTAAGTAATCGGAAGGGTTGTAGGTGGAAACACCTGTAACCCGATTTGTTATTAATGATAATAGGAGCTATTACAAAATACAAGCCGCGTGGATTAATTCAAGCATACCTCACAAATGAGGATTTTAGGGGTATTTATAATAAAGCTAAGCACGTCAAGCACGTTTTTGGTTATCCAACCGGTCAGCCTTCTGACCGGTCCCATAGAAGACCTAGAGAGCCCGGTCTGAGGAAAGTGCGCTCTGCCACTTCGACCACCACCCAGTCGGACGAACCAACCGGGTGGCATCCATGGGTTATCACCCATCAAGGAGTCCTCCGATTCCCGGTCCTGTGGGGACCATCAGGAGCGGGAAGCACATGCGATTATCTTTTGAAATTTGAACTGCCCAGTCGCTTTTTGGCGGGAAAATGGCCTCGGAAAACCAGCGCCAACCTGAAATATTTGAATTTTGAATTTTCAAAAACCGGGCGTCCAAAGCGAGAGAATCTTCTCGAAATCGGGTACAGAGCCGCCGATTTAATGTGCCGTTTCGTCTCCCCAAGAGGTTATGATGGCAAATCATTTCAGCTGCCACGTGTCAGTTCTTTATTCGCCCGTCTGGGCGGCATCTGTCCTATATAAAGCGTCGTTCTCCTTGGAATTTCTTCACTTGCAAATCTTTGATTAAAAAAACTGCCCGGCTTCTTCTGCTATTTCCGAGTCCTCCGAGTCTTCTAACCGTCTCCAAGTAAGTCTCTTTTTCCTTCCCTTTCTGAGTCATGTCTGACCGTGAGGATAGCCAGAACCCGTCCGTTCACTCCTATGGTTCTGGTGGCCGGTCCCCAACCTTCGGTTCCTCTTCTTCTTCCTCCTCTGACTCTGAGCACCCGGCTACTTCTCCACAGAAGAAGCCGGCCGATGCTTCCACTTGCGCTCCCTCTTCTTCCGTGGCGCAAGTGGTCTCGACTACCCAGTCCGGAGACGAGGGTTTCATCCAGCTGGACGACCGGTTGCTCCAGGAGCAACCGTCGTACATGCAGAAGCCCCAAGTCCACGAACTACGTAATCTGATGCCTGATGGGTATCAATTGACCTACCGGGCAACGTGGAAGAGTATTATACCTCTCCACGCCGGCACGTCGATTGGTATCCATTACCATTCGATCAAGGACCTGGGTGAATTCTCTATTCACCCATTCAAAGTCCTTTTCCTTGAGACCTACGGGATCATGCCCGGGCAGCTGGCCCCCAATGGTCACCGTTTGTTAGGCAGCTTCATCAACGTCTGCCGGTTTCTCCGTATTCCTCTCTCCCTTCGTCTCTTTGACTACATGTTCGATGTCCGGCCCGGGTCCAAGGAAACCCTTGGATTCGTGGTGGTGTCTTCCCACCAAGGCCGGGCATTCCTTTGTGGCCTTCCACCCT